TCCAATTACCCCCACATACACACACATTTGACACAAATTCACGTACTGACAGACGCTCGCTGATACATGTAGGTAGCGCACACACACGGCATTGTTCCAGCAGCAGTTCTTCCTCTTCCTGTGTCTGTTAGAGACTTGGCACCTACTTTTCAAGGTGTAGTTGTTATCATTACAGATCATGGCAGAATGTGTTTGTGTGTTCCACTAAGTGAGAGAAAGTTCTTTTGCCTTCCTACTGACTTGGCCCACAAACAAGGTCATCGCCATGTGTGTCAGTGGCAAAGTCTGATTGTTCTCCTTGTTTTACTCTAATCTGACGTCTCAAGAAGAGCGTCTCCGTCCCTGTTCGGGGCCAGATGGCGGGCGCAAACACACACCTACATGTTTCTGCCGTACAGATGAAGCTGACTAGGCACAAACACACACGTGCACGTTAAAGGTGACAGCGCTGCTCCTCCATCATCATCCTCACCTCCACACCAATGCACTCATTTACTGTGTAATGCAGTAGATAGCAGAGTGCAGCAGGACAAGGCAGATTACATTTTCTCTTATGTTTCCTCTGTCGTACCCTTCTCCCTTTGCCCATGAGAGTGTGTGCGTGTGTGTGTGCGTGTGTGTGTGCGTGCGTGTGTGTGTGCTATTGGGTATTCTAGTCTTTGCATTTTTTGTCTTGCCATTGTGAGTCTGTGCATGCATGTGCTCATAGCTGCGAATGCATGTCTGTGAATGCATTCCCGTGTGTGTGTGTGTGTGTGTGTGTGTGTGTGTGTGTGTGTGTGTGTGTGTGTGTGTGTGTGTGTGTGTGTGTGTGTGTGTCTGGCAGTTTTGTGCGTGGGTAATGCGACAGGGCCATATTTCCCCGGGGCCCAGGGCTCTGCAGGTTTTAGCCTCGCTCTCTCTAAGCAGTTTAGGAAAAACAATGACAGGCCTCTGTATTGACTGGTCTGGTCTGGTCTGGTCTGGTCTGGAAGACGGGCTGTTCTCACCACAGCACACACACCCTCCGCTACGAAGACAGCAGCGGAAGCACGGTGGTATAAAGTCCGAACCAAGACTTGTGTTCATATTTATTTCATTTAAGCCATTCAGGAAGTGGGTTTTACAAAACAACACGATCCATATCGCCTGCCCTGCTGGAGGAGGCTGTTCTAACAGAAAACACACACTTCCTGTCTGAGTGAACAGCAGAATAAAACACCACAAAGGCTTCATGTTCAAGCTAACCTGTGTCTAGCATGCTGCTGTTCCTACAGTAAACTCTCACTCTGAGGTTGAGGCCTTTATTCACCTGTTTTCCACATGAATCATGTTTTAGTAAGAAGCCTGCCTCCTGCTGCTGTTTACTCTCAGTGCACATTCTTGCACACTTCTTCGTCTGTTCCACATTATAACAGTGGAAGGGACACATTCCCGTCACTTCACTGGAGGGCTTTTATTGTGAAACATCTGCAGGTGTGGAGTTTGATTAAAGGCGGCTTCGTTTGAGAGCCGACCGCACTCATCGCGGCCCCGGAACCACAGTAAACACTGAGCACTCTTCCTCTCCTCCTCCTCCTCCTTTCATCCAATTTTTTCTGTAGAATATATCAATTACTCTGCTGTAGAGCAGATGTCAAACTGTGACACGCGCCCGTGTGCGCACGCGCGCACACACACACACACACACACACACACACACACACACACACACACACACGTCTGATCAATTGCAGCTCTGCATAATCAATACCGAGCCCCAACAGCAACGTAAATGAAGAGAGTAACCGGGAGGGGTCTGTTTGTCATATGATGTGTGTCGCGTGACGTCTGTCATCCATCCATCCATCCATCCATCCATCCATCCATCCGTCCGTCCGTCCGTCCTCCCACCCCCCCTCTCTCATCGCTCTCCCTCTCCTCCCCTCTCCTCTCCTCTGGGCTATTTCCAGCAGTCCACTGCAGCGCTGCGAGCTCCTCCAGGGAGTGACCGCAGCCTACCTCCTTCCATCCCTCCCTCCTCTTCCTCTGTCCTTCCTTTCCATCCCTCGCTCCGTCTACAAATCAATACGGCAGCAGCAGGACCCAAAGAACCTGAGGGAAAACACACCTACACACACACACACACACACACACACACACACACTCTAGCTCCTTCCTCCCTACTTCCTCTTCTCCTCCTTGCAATCCTTTTGCTGCTGGCTCATTTTTATCGTTCTCCTCTTTTTCTCTCCATTCACATTTCTAACGCCTCATATATGACCTCATTGTTAGAGGTCATATATGAGGCAAGTGCTTAATGACCAGAGCCAGACATAGATGTAGTCCTCCTCTCCTTCCCTCTGTCCTCTCCTCCTCTTCCTTCTGCCTCCCCTCCTCTCTTTCGTTCTGTCTCCTTTCCTCTCCTCCTCCTTCCCTCCCCTCCCCTGTCCTCCCATTCCTACTGTCTCCTCTCCTTTCTACTCTTCCTCACCTCCCCTTCCCTTTCCTCCCCCCGGTCTCCTCTCCTCCCCCCTGTTTCCTCTCCTCCCCTCTGTCTCCTCTCCTCTTGTGTTAACACGGTCACATAAAGAGGAATGAGCCTGACCTCTTCTGGCGGCGAGAGGAAATGCAGCCGGTGAACTTAGGACGGAGCAGAGAGGCTGAGGATGGAAGAAAGTGATAGAGTGAGAGGCAGCAGACAGGGGGGGGGTTCTATCATAATGGGGTCAGTGGCTCCCAATGAGATCCTCTTCCTCACCAGAGAGGCCTCCACACAAACACACACACAGACAGACACACTTATTTTTCACTGTCCCATTCCTTATTTTTCTCATTTGCTCACCCATTTCACCCAACCTTCGACTGCCTGTGTCACTGAGAGTGTGTGTGTGTGTGTGTGTGTGTGTGTGTGTGTGTGTGTGTGTGTGTGTGTGTGTGTGTGTGTGTGTGTGTGTGTGTGTGTGTGTGTGTGTGTAGGACATTAATACCCTTTGCTTTCCCCTGGATGTGCTAGCTTGGCCTCTAAAGCCGAACGACAGACACTCACACACAGTCGTACAGCATACACAGTCTCTCTCTCTCTCTCTCTCTCTCACACACACACACACACACACACACACACACACACACACACACACACACACACACACACACACAAACACAACACACACACACACACACACACACACACACACACACACACACACACACTTGCACACCAAAGGGCTCAACGAAACATGCACAGTAAGATAAGGGCCGTAGAATGACAAATAAGTATTTATCAACCCCAAACCACGTATAATCCTTCACATTTCTGTCCCCATCCACCCCTCCATCGCCTCTCTGTTCTGTTCATCCCCCTATCCCCTCCTCTTTTTTTCATTCTCCCATCCGCTGTTCTTTTTTTGTCCTTTTTTCTTCTTTCCGTAGTGGGGCCTATCTGTGAGAGGGAGCGATTAATCTGAGAAAGCTGCTTTTAGTGGTGGTGAAGGGTGGGGGGGGCGTTGATTGGGAAGATCTCACTGGGAATTGTGTGTGTTGTGTGTGTGAGTGTGTATGTGTGAAGAAGCAGGGATGATAGGGAAAGATTTCTGAGGGAGTTTGTGCATGTGTGTGTGAGAGAGAGGGAGAGAGGGAGGGAGGGAATGTTTCACAGGGAGAAAGCTACAGTCTGGGGAAAATGACGAGAGAGGAGGAGGAAAACATCCTGGTGGAAATTTCTCTGATACACACACACACACACACAAATTCCCAGAGAAATCTTTCCAATCATCTCCCCATCTTACACACACACACACACACACACACACACAAACAAACACACACAACAGCACACCCCCTCCACACCCCCAGCTTTAGATGTGATGCTTGCTAAGTTCCAAACCAGCAAATCCAGATTATCATGAGTTCAGTTCCCTGTTGCAGCTGATATGAAACAGCCACAGAGGACTGATTGTGTGTGTGTGTGTGTGTGTGTGTGTGTGTGTGTGTGTGTGTGTGTTGTGTGTGTGTGAGATCATGCTGAAGCAAACGTGCATGCTTTTGCGTCTGCACAGGACTGTTAACGTGTATTTCTGAGTGTATTTATCTTCACTAAGAAAGTTTAACATATTATAGTGTGTGTGTGTGTGTGTGTGTGTGTGTGTGTGTTTGTGTGTGTGTGTGTGTGTGTGCACGCGCAGTATACTGTCCGTTTCCGTGTGTGCCTACCTTTACACCATTTACGCATACAAATCGGTCCGAACCTCGGTTCCTGCACTCTGGTTTTTACCTGGAGATGGCCGCGGTGCTCTCCTTTGTGCTCCCGCTGCTGCAGTGAATTTTAATTTTGAAAAAGGTGTTTTTTTGCATTGTGATTATGTATTGATGTGTAGCGCGCTGATGCCTTTGGAGAGATGTGAGTGTAGGCGTCTCCGAGGTACGGAGACGGTCTCTGTAAAATATTAATCACAATATCAAAAGACACGAGGGTTTCACAGATCTGAATAAACAAATGGAGGCGCCGGGTTCCCACAGACAGGAAATAAAACAAAAACAGAACAAATACTATATGAAGTATGATGATGTATGTCATTATTTGGTTCTGACCAAAACGGTCTGCTTCTATTGGATAGTGTTTGGTGGTGTGCCAACATGTGCAAAACTAGATGTGTCTCAGAGAACAGCTCACTGACAGTGTCTCACATGCAGGGATTTAAGATATATACAATATTTATCTTCTATATCTCTCAGTATCTTTAGTGTGAGCAACAATCCCTCAGTACTCCTGCTTTATATTGTAGAGTTGTCTGCTCGTCTTGTTTTGTCTTCTCTTCTTTTCTTCCTTTCTCTTGTTCTTTCTCCTCTTTCATCAGACTGTGTAGAAAGCGAGGAGGCCTTGCTGTCTGTACTGTGGGAGGCAGTTGTGTTTCTGTTCTCTTCTGTTCTTTTATTGGGTGGGGGTGCAAGTGGAAAGCACTATGCTCACGTAGCCCATTATTTCTCTCATCATGTGTTCTCACTTTTTCTCTCTATCTCTCCCTCTCCCTCTCTCCCTCCAGAACCACACACTGAGTCAGCACGCGCAGTGAGACCGAGGCCCGGCAGGATCTCTCGGCTCAGCCGGGGCCCCCGACCCGGAGCCGGCAGGGGACTCCCATCTCCACATCACAGCCAATCAAAGTGTCATTTGCTACTCACATGTAAAACTCTAACGATCGCGCCACTGGGCGCGGCTATTAGGAGCAGCGGGGGAAAGGAATATTAATGGGATATGCTATTAAATAAAGAAAGGAAAAAGTGGGTGAGAGAAACGGTAAGAGCTAGATGAAGGAAAGAGAGAAGTGAAAAAAGGTATTGTACGTGCAGTATTTTTTATTGTCCCTGCCGACCCCCCCACCCCCCACCAGCTTCTTCCCCTCCCTTTCTCCTTCCCTCTCCTCCCACCCATTGCTCCCCAGGTCAGGCATTTTATTTTTTTTAACAAATAGAAAAGAAAAAAAAGCAAGAAAACACCCTTTGTTTTGGGATTTTTTTAATAGATTGTAGGAAAAAGCTTCACTTTCTCGTCCCCTCAGTTGCTTATTGTATTGAACTTCATAGGTGCCAATTTCTTTGATTTTTCTTTCTGCCATATGCGCTTATTTTTTTCGTTTTAATTTTTGTACCTTTCATTTCTCGCCGTAGGTACTCGTGCTGTGTTGTGGTTGTTTGTTTGCCAGTCGTAATATTCCTGAGTTTTTTCCCCCAACTCTCCTTTTTATGATTATTGTTATATATTTTTTTCCTTTTTGTAATTACTATTAAAAAAAGACATCAAACAAAATAAAGTGCAGAAAACCATACAGATGTTTCTTTTGTTTTGGATTGGGTTTTCCAGTCTCTATGGGGCCTATAATGGTTATTGTAAAAATGAATATCATCGATTTCAGTGCGTCTGGTCAATGACTGCTTTTTAAATGTGAATTAACCAGATTGCAATAATCTAGTACAGACAAAAAAGATAAAACAAATAAATAAATGACAAATAAAGAATTTGTGTGATGTGAATTTATTCAAAAGACGTGAATCTGTGAGCCTGCATGCACACCCGCCCAAGATCCGACTGCAGTACTCGCCAAGTCGGATGGACACTGATTCTGAATCAGAGCTACATGTGATGAAGAATGAACACAAATTGAGGTCAGATTTTAAAAGGCATGTGTAGCATATTTCATACCCAGTTTGCTGTCATATTTAACAAATCAATTTAAATTAATTTTAAAAATAATTAGTTGTTAGTTAAATATCTTCATTTTTGGGGCTTTTCCAAGCAACCATTGATACATGTGATTGTTTGTCATTAAATCCCCATATATTTCTGCCACCCCTTAAAGCAAACCTCTCAAACAAAACACAATTCTATTTAAATTTTTTTATTTATTTGGTGCAAAATAACAGCAAAGGTCAAAGGTAGCTGCAAATGTGTGCAAACGGTTGATAAGATATAAAATGCATAGACACTGCTGTTCGGCTTTTTGATATGATGTTAGTAATGGAAATATTTTCAGATAATTGCCCCTCAAACCAGTTCTCCATGCCACCCCACGTATATTTCTCTACATCCGTCCCTAGCTGCTTTACATCATGTGTTTAAAAACATGATGCATGCTGCTTCTTTTAACGTGTGTGTTAAGACAAGAAAAAACTTCAAATGTTGACCCCCCCCAAATGGGTGCACACATTGTTGAATGTGTGCAGGTGTGCTGGAATCGTCCCTCTCTGATGTTTATCTGAATAAGAAGGCCACGCTGCACCCTGTTCAGTGTTAATGTCACCGCAGTGTAAAGCCTTCTGTACGTCTACAGTATTCAGTACCTGCAAGTAATACTAACCCAGTGAACAAGACCTCACACACCTCCATCCTGTAACACGAGCCAAGACTGCACTGGAGTCAGGGAAGCGGCTGTCCCTTTCTATACCAAGGTAACACCATGCAATTATAATCTCCAGGGCACAATTACTGTCGAGGTGACACCTTAAACCCAAAGTGCTAACAAAGTTAATGCTGACCAATTCACACACTGTTGTATGAAGGATGCTGGAGGCATTAACACAGAACAGAATTCTTCCATTTCTGTTGCCACAGAGCAGAGGACAGACTGTGTCAGAGCCCAGGGACTGACTGTGGCATTGAACACAATCATCTCAGAATGAATCCACTGATGGAAGAAGACACATGCTGCTTGTTTGTGTCCTCAGTTTCACTCGTGTCAGTAAGAAATCGCTTCTAATGTCCAACAATCAGCACTGCAAATAACTTTTGGATGGTAACGGATTTTTATAATATAACAATAATTCAGTTCAGCCAAGTGCCTTGCTTAGATTAAAAGTCTCTTTCACAGGCGTGCTCTGGCCAAGATAACAGCAGCATTACATATAACACAGTTATGTAATAAAGATACAAACTGCAAGGTTGTAATCAGATTACAGTGTCATTACAACCCTGAAACCATAGCTGATCCAACAGCTGCCAATTCTTCTTATATTATTATCATATTATTATTGTATTAATATCATATTATTATTGTATTATTATCGTATTATTATCATATTATTATTGTATTATTATCGTGGCCTCTAGTGAAGAAAATGATCTCACTGGGAATGTTGCCATTATTTTGTCTTTACAGCGAAAAAAAGAACAACATCACAGTACAGTGCGACTTCAACTGCCCTACAAAATGTGTGTAAAATGTTGTTAATAACTATAAAATAGGCTATAAATGATCCTGGCCATTCAAACTGTATTTAGTATTTAGTATGGAGTCATATAGACGGACTTTCTCTCAGCACCCCGACTCTGACTGACTCCCTGCGGTTACATTGTTCTGTTGTCTTATAGAATATGTAAAAGTCATCATATTGATATGTCGTTCTCTTTATTTGCATATTTAGTATCACAGTATGGAGGTAATACAAAAGAAACAGAATATGTGAAGATAAAAGAATTGAAACTAATAGCTTATTTCCAACCATGTAAAATAGTCGCTGACATGCAGATAGTCACACCTTCAAATAATGAAAAGTGGTTTTAAAGAAGTGCAATGAGATTGATTTCTGACGCTTTGTATGTGACTAAAGCAGCCAGCCGGAGGGAGCAGTCTGTTGGACCTTGGCCACACATTGCATGTGAGTTCCACGAGTGTAAACAGCCGTTCTTGCTCAGTTTGGATAATAACATTTAATAAATACGGAGATAAGATGTCCTGAATTCTCCGAAACACTGCCTCAGTGTATCAGCTTAGCTAACTGCCGACAGCTGCCTACTTGCAGGTCCAGCCAGTGGCAGACTGAGGGCTGTTTGAGGGGCCAGGGGCGAAAAGAGACAGCAAGGGAAGACACAGGGATGGTCAGACTTTCTATTAACACCTAAAAGGGGGATTCCTCAACACAAAACCCTCTCAAACTGGGGGAGGGTCTCATGTGCATCTATTGTGACATGAAAAAGTTTGGGAAGCCCTGGTGAAACAACGGTGGTAAAGACCCCGTCTAGAGCCAGTGTTTAGTTTGTCACGTTGACTTTTCCCTGTAGGTTTACAGTAATTAACTGGCTACAGCTTCAGTTTACAGTGTCTTACTGTATCTTACAATTACAGCGTATCACTAGAAATAACTGTGCAGTTCATTACTGTGTTCTTGTACATTTACAACACAGTACTGGTCTGTCAGTAAATGACTGCATATTGACAGTATGTAAACAGTTTTACAGTGTATCCTGTATTTAAAGAATGCTACAACAGTAATAATTATTAATAATGAAGACATGACAAAGAGACAATATTCCTTACGCAGTTCCTTTGCAAATAGTTAAATAGAAACATGCCACCAGTACAACACAAAAGACCTGAATAACCTTTGTTTCTCTTTCATACCACTTTTAATTTAAAGGAGCAGCGTGTAGGATTGTGTGGCATCTCCTGTAGTGCTGAAGTTGCAGATTGTAACCATACAGCTCAGCCTTGTAATTGTATAGGACAGTGGTTCCCAACCTGGGGGGTGGGCCCCCGCTAGGGGTCGCTAAAACTTCATGGGGGGTCGCGAGGCCTTCTTGATTTTAATATGTGTAAGAAAACTAATATATATAACAAATATACACAGTAGGCTGATATCTCAGCATTTGGTTCACCTCTAAATCTTAATGATTGTTTAGATGTTATAAAAATACAAAACACAGACAGAGAATTGTATAAAATAATTTCCTAAACAGGAAATAATCTGCTCCAAATTCAAAAAATCTAATCTGCTCAAAATATATGTCAGTGAGTCAGTAATATGAAAGTCAGCTGACTCTGTAGAAGAGGACCCGCTCCCTCTGTAGATAAAAACTGCTCAGTGTAAGATACCGATAACAAGATTAATGTATTCAGATTACACACTCATGAAAACATACAATGAATATTATAGTTTTTATATATTTCTGCCGACAGATCCTCCTGAACGTTACCCACTGGACCTTTAAGTGTCCTCATTTAAAGCCGCAGTAGATACTTTTAATAAAAATAACTTTCACTACATCCTGGCAGAACGTGAGACAGGTTGGGTTCAGGTTCCTCTGGTTTCTCCCAGGGAATCCACCGGGCCTGAACGGATGATCTGTTTCATGTGCTACTGTCAGAATTATCGACAGCGATTTTTCTTTTTTATATAGGCTATATTTTCTTTATTGGATAGGACAGCTGAAGGGGGGGGGGGGTGACACGCAGTAAAGGGCCACAGTTAAGATCCGAACCCACGGCTGCTGCTGCAAGGACTCAGCCCCGGCACATGGGGGCACCAGCTCCACCAGGTGAGCTACGGGGCAGCCCCACGATTATGTGGCATTTGGAGGTAAATGGGCACAGACATCGGCCCATAAACACAACGTCTGAATACAGTCGGTACCAGTGTGACTGCTGCGGAGCCATGTGAGCGCGCTCCCTCGTGAGTTTTGGAAAGTTGGTTTGGAGCCCCGTACTGTAACTGCTGTAAACATTGCCTCTGGAGTAGAATAGAATTATACATGACTTTTCGTCCACTAATCAGAAGGTTGTGGGTTCGATCCCCGGCTCCTTGTGCCACATGTCGAAGTATCCTTGAGCAAGACGCTGAACCCCAAATTGCTCCCGATGTGCATCGGTGTGTGAATGTGTATGAATGGGTTAGTTTCTGTTCTGTGTGTGAAAGGGTGAATGTGGCTGTACAGCTCCATTTACCATCATATATCAGCCCATTATCTGTCGACCACCGCGCAGACTGTGGTTAAAGTTGGTTAGAAGTTATTTTTATAAAAGTAACCAACTGCAGCTTTAATTGCTTGCATCCAGTGTGTATGAGGGAGGACAGACAGGAAGTGACTTCTAGGTACCACTTCCACTTTTCACCATAACTGCAAAATGCAGACGGTCCCTGAAGCTGACACTGGAACTGGACGCAGAGATAAAGTTTGTTCAGCCGAGCTAGCACAGCCTCCTGCAGGCAGACACATGTGCGGGCACTCCTCCTCCGGTACACACCGACAGTGAAACGGCTCCGTGTGTCCGCGCAGCTCCGTGCATTTCCGGGTACATCCCCGTTAGCATCAGTCCGTTCAGCCCCGCTGCTCCATCCAGACACAACAGCCACACACAGAACCGAGCACCGACCGACACACATCCATAATTGATGCGTTAAAGCTGAGAGCCAAAGCAGGGGGGTGGGGGGCGGCAGCGGGCAGGAGTTATGGCGGCGTCGCTTCTCTCCGAGACCGACATCAGGCACCGGTCCATGGCGGAGGAGGATCCGAACGGGAATGAGCACGGGGCGGCTGCACGCAGCGCGGCGCCTCGCTGGGGACCGCAGCACGCCGGGGCCCGGCAGCTGGCGAGGCTCTACTCTCCCGGTGAGGACGCGTTCATTGTCCCGGTGTGTCTTATTGTTGGGGTCGCTCGCTTTTATCGGTAACGGGAGTGAGAATGACACATGGAGAGAGCGGAGGCCTTAAAGCAGCCACAGTGCGACATCAGTGAGGATGAGGAGCAGAGTGAGGATGAGGAGCAGGGTGAGGATGAGGAGCAGGAGCAGGATGAGGAGTAGGGTGAGGGTGAGGATGAGGAGCAGGGTGAGGATGAGGAGCAGGAGGGTGAGGATGAGGAGCAGGGTGAGGATGAGGAGCAGGGTGAGGATGAGGAGTAGGGTGAGGGTGAGGATGAGGAGCAGGGTGAGGATGAGGAGCAGGGTGAGGATGTTGACAGGCTGCCTAGCAGTGTGTGTTTAAAGGAAGATCACATGCACTGTGTATTATTATGGATGCAGCAGTGTGTCTGAACCTGCTGGGGGGGGCATTGAGCAGTGTGTCTGAACCTGCTAACCTGCTGGGGGGGGCAATGAGCATTATCACTTATTTCTACATGGGGATGAAGTCAAGAATAAATGTGTCCTTCTGCACTGCTGCCAGTTGTCTTTGTCTCAGACAGTAACAGGTCCCCTCCAGACGTATTCAGACATTGATGCAGATAGTCTGCTTGGAATAATAATGTGGATTTGATGTGTTTTTTTAGGGATGGGAATTGATCAGTCCCTCCAGGAGGGACAGTGCATTCAGTCCCAGGTCTTTACTTGTATATGAGATCAGTGTTTCACTGCCAGTGTCACGTTAGAATGTGAACAGTTAAATGTTTTTCACTTTATCACCAGATATTTGTTTTATTACAACATACTGAACAAAGTTATCATAGAAACCTTTCTATATACTCTTTATCTTGCTCTAACAGGATAAATAGTATATCTGTTAGTAGTTTAGTGTTGTAACAATAAAGTTTTCAGATTATAATGTGATACTGATCTGATCTGGTTTTGATGAATGAAGGGAATAACATGTCCAAATGGATCACGAGGATATATGTGATTGAACACTTCTACTATCTTTATGTGTCCCCGTTGTCCAGAGTTGTCTCAGTCTTTTGTTAAAGGGACGCTCCACAGATTCTACATCCAGATCAGTTTGCTCATCACAGAGAACGACTCAGCCGGTAAAAGCTGTCGGTTGTCTTCTACGGCTGTGGAGGGAACTTTCTCAAGTATGAAACAGTACCCTCGACGATGTCATCGGAGTTGTCTTTTCTTTGGCCGCGAGACAAACTATTTTCAACAGGATGCCTGTGTGTGTTACAGTGCGGAGGTTTGTAAGACGTGGGCATTCAGTGGGACTTACAGCCTGTAAAAGTCCGGTTATCTCAGCCTGTGCTGCATTGAGTTTGATTCTTATTTTTTCTGTCCTGGGTCCTCTGACTTTATGGAAGTACAATCATTAAATGCTGCAACATCCTTTTAACATTTAGAACAGACTGGGATTTAAAGCTGTTGCAAGTAACTTAAGTAAAATAAGATTATATTTGAAAAAAATCTGGTCCGTCCTAGTGCTCTTAATGGCATCTGCAACAATCTGCTGCTTCTGAACAGCTCTGATTGGTTGTTTTCTTACAGACATTTTTAAAAATGCCATTAGGAGCACTAGGAGGAGCCGGAGAAACCAGGTTTTATCCCCAGATATCTGTCTGACCGACCGCAGTCAGGTACACACATGCTTCAGATGTCCCTTTTTGCACTCAGATCGCTCAGCTCATCCTCCTGCAGGATTAGTTTGTTAGATGCTAGTGAAGTTGTTGCCTTCAGCTCGGGGAGGCGTTTAGTCCCGGGACAAAATCAATGCCTGTGACACAGTCTACAGCAGTAATGCTCCATCCAGTCCTCGGGGTCCAGAGTGCTGCTGTGTATTTTTCCCTGCTAGTTTAAATTCACCTGGCGTCCCAGTCCAAATAAGTCTCTGATTAGGCGTCTAGAATGAAAACTGCCTGGTAGAGTAAAAAATAAGCGGTGGTCTGGACCCTGGAGGCTGAATTTCAGGACCGGTGGTGCACCGGCTACAAATACTTTAATAAAATGACAGCGGTTGTAGTTGTTGGCATAATTGCATCCATCACAACAAAAGTGTTGCTTATGTGTCACGACCCTGAGGCCTCGTGTAATCGCGTGCATTGTGGTCTTGGGAAAATATTCTCTGGAAGCTTCATTTGTTTAACATCAGCCACCCCCCTGCTCTCTTTTCTGTTTACCTTTTTTTCCTGCATCAGATCAGCTTCTATCCTGGAATTTCAAAAAGGCAGAGGCGTTTCATATTCTTAACCATTCCCTCCGACATAACCATTTTAAATTCATGATCCATATTTCCATTCCCAGGCAGCTATGTCACTCTCTGCTGCTGTTTAACATCAAACCTTAAATTCAATCAGTGCCTGAATTAGACCAAAACTGGTGCCAGTACTCTAATTCAGCACAACCCTGAACACAACATAAATGGGGGATATAGCAGCAAAGCATCGAAGTAATTATTTTTAGGCAATTATTTCACAACTTTTACTGTCTACCCCTTGGAAACCGTACTGAGGTCCAGACTGGTGACCTCAGTGGCGGGTACAGCCATGCTCACCAGAGGTGGCGGTACTCAATGAGAAGTAAGGGTACTCATGTGCTGGCACTGTACTGGCGAGGAACTGCCTTCAATCACATACGGGCTCAGAATAACGAGAGGGAAAGCCAAATGATAAATTGAGCCGCGTTATGAGCGTATACACTGATGTTAGCGAGTTGATGGAAGCCACGCTGCGCCTCAGACCTAAGCAAAGAAAACCTGTCTTACCAGTTGTGCATCAAGCTGGACTGTGCCTCGTTTTGCCCGACCATCTGCCCTGCTTCTCACTTCACTGAGCATTTTAATTGCCTCTGGTCGGGCCGTGTTGGCCACTTGTTAACACTTCCTAAAACAGGAATGATCAGAGAAAGGAAAGGGTTGCGCCACTATGACCACGTTGTTGTGAAGTTCACATGAGGGCACAACATGTGTCACTAGGTTGGCGCTTGAATCCAAAGCCCTGACAGCCCTGTGAGTGTGTTCATGCTCACAAACCACTGACCCTGGAACTGCCTCCCTCCACTCATTGAGCTGTAAAGGAACTTCTGACCTGACCGGTGACTTCAGACTTTTTTTACTCTTTATTTTCATTTAACCTCCGTCTGCATGCCGGCTGTCACTTCAGTGGAAGCTGGGGAGATGTAGTCGTATGTTTAACCGCTGTGAGTGAAGCAGTCACCTTTGCTGTTAATGGAATTGGATCTCCACTAATGTTTGGTGCCATTTCATTAGAGAGAGAACCATCTCTGCTCTGGCATTTGGTCGTTTCTACTGCCAAGCAAACATTACACAGCCATGTAAACAGAGAAGAGACGTGCAGGAACACACGTGCACAGGGTGGATTAATTAGCTTAATTAAAGTTGCATATGAGCTGATGACAGGGAGAGAGAGAGAGAGAGAGAGAGAGAGAGAGAGAGATATTGGACCAGGAAGAACAGGTTTTTTTTTAAATTTAAGTTTATTAAACACAGGCAGATAATACATGTATCAGACAATGATGCAATGATGACATGACAAAGTAACCCCACAATAGAAGACCATTAAAATTGAATAAAAGAAAAGTAAAAAACCCTAAACCATTTAAACACTGAACATCTTGAATGTTTGACATCCAGTCATCATAAAAAAGGTTTTTATTATTGATGATCTGAGCAGAACCTGTGTGACCTGCTTTTGATAGTGAGGGATTTTAAAGATTTTTGGTAGAATAAAGCCTTTAAAATAGAAAGCTGTAGCAACCAACAGCCCAGCTTACACGTAATCTCACACAGTTGTCATCTGTTTTATCTGTTCAGTTAGCCTGGTATGTGCCAGGAAGAGAGCACACAGTACCACATAATTCTATAATTACATGTCCTAAAATGAGATTAAAACACAGAATAAAAACCAGGGAACACTTTTAAAATCATCACTTTCTGAAACTTTGAATGACTGTATGTAAGAGGAGGATGAAGAGTAGGATACTAACTGAGGAGGATGCTGAGGAGAACCTGGGTCGGGTTGTTGTTGAGTGTGCCGCTGATTGATGGATAAGAGGATCACGCATGCATTTGGGGTCCCGACACTTTATCCTCTCTCTCACTCAGCGGCCACGGAGCTTAGTTAGCGGACTGATTCTGGGTAAAAATAACCCAGACATGGCTGCGATAAGAGCGACATTATGACGTAACAAAGACTCTGCTGTTAAATGGTTAAACGTCCGCTGGCACCCCAACAGTAACCCTGTCCTCTTTCATCCAAACTGCCCTGTGAACCTGTGTGTTGACTTACAGTTACAGTGTTGAAGATGTTGGTTGTTCATGGAGATAAATAATGTAACCCAGAGTACGGATGTTTGTGAATTCAAAGATGGGGGCTGGCTGTGGAGGTGGAGTGGGTTGTTCATTAATCCTATATTTGGTGGTTTGATTCCCCAGCACCGCCTTGAGCAAGACATTAAACCTCAAATCTCTCCTGGTGGTGCCTCACATGGGAGCCACCATTAGTGTGTGCGTGGATGACTGAGAGGTAAACTGTAAAAGCTGATTGGATGAACCATCTGTCTATCACAGGTGAACTTCAACCAATCAGATCAACGAACCATATAATGTAATTATTCTCTTACCGAAGTCAGTTGGGAGAAGAGGGAGAACATCTTCTGTGCTGTTCTTTGCTCTTCTTTTAATGAAGCAATACTCTCGCTAGCAGTAGTCTATCTACACTAACTCCTTTAGCAGCCGCCATTGTTGGCACTGCCCACAACGCTTTTTTTTAGAGATAACGTTAGTGAGTAAGATTAGCCAGCCAGCGGCAACCCAGCCACGCTGAATAACGTTACCTGGTGGCGACCGCCCTGCAACGCCAACTGACAGCCACCCCAACGTAGAAACGCATATAAATCAGTCCACAGTCAGGGAAGGTCCCGTTTCTCTCTCACACATAATAAATAAAG